GTTTCCAGCCTAGTCTTTATTCCCTTGCTTACAGAAACTGCCTCTCCAGTTAACCCTTATTACCATTGTAACAACTAAGCCAAAGTCCCCATTGACCTGAGTGACATTGACTTGGCCACGCCCACATGATCACATGCCCACCAAGCCCCGCCTACCCAGCTGGTCATTAGGGCAGAGAACTGGTTGGTGAATTATTTGAATCCCACCACTGGATCTTTCCCAACTGGAACCCTCTAGACATGGTGAACTCCAAATTCCCAAGAAATCTGAGAATTTTAAGTCCAACACATAGAGAGTACATTGGGTCGACAACATTATAACTATTTGTTGAAGGAGATAGATAAACATAGATATTCCTCGACTTACGACCACAATTGAACCCAGTTTCAATTGCTAAGCAAGATAGTTGTTAAGTGAGTTTTGCCCCATTTTACAGCCTTTCTTATCATAGTTGTTAAGTGCAGTTGTTAAGTTGGTTGTTAAATAAATCTGGCTTCCCCATTGATTTTGCTTCTCAGAAAGTTATAAAAGGTGATCACATAACCCCAAGACACCGCAACCATCATAAATATGAGTCAGTTGCCAAGCATCCAAATTTTGAATTCGTGACCACAGGGATGCTGCAATGGTCATAAGTGTGAAAAACAGTCATAAGTCGAATTTTTCAACACTTACAACTTCAAATGGTCACTAAATGAATAATTATAACTTGAGGACTACTTGTATGAGATGACTAAAAGGCAGTCCTTTCCTTTAGGTTACTTTAAATGGCCATCCTTATTAATTTATTCTGTACTTAAAAAATGTTTTTCCAAGCTAGTTTCCTGCCAACTTCTGTAATTACCGTATTTTTCAGAGCATAAGACGCACCAGAGTATAAGACGCACCAAGGTTTTGAAGAGACATTTTTTTTAAAAAAGTAGGTAGGTAGAGGGATAGAGAGGGAAAGAGAGATAAATACAGTAGGTAGATAGGGAGAAAGAGAGAGAGAGTAGTTAGGTAGGTAGGTAGATAAAGAGGGGGGGAGAGACAAATACAGGAGGGAGGGAGAGAGAGTAGGCAGGTTGGTAGGTAGAGGGATAGAGAGAGAGAGGGAGAGAAATACAGTAGATAGGTAGGGAAAGAGAGAGAGTAGGTAGGTAAGTAGGTAGATGGAGAGAGAAAGAGGAAATANGGGGGGGGGGGAAGGACACATGTGGAGGGGCACTCGCATTGCATTTTAGACCCTTGTGCAGCTCCCTCACATCCCGTTTTGGTGTCCAGGTTGGTGCAGGAAACCTGCCAGGCCCAAAACTGCGGGGCGGTGTTGCATGCACATTGCATGTGATAGAGAACTCGGGGGGGGGGGAGATGGAATCAGTACAATAAAAAAGAGCAACTAAGATTGAACGAGCAAAACTCACAAAAAGTAGAGGCACAAAAATAAAAATAGGAGACAGTTTTGAAGTTCAGGACTGTGGCAATAAAGTCATATAATGTACCACCAATGAAACAGCCCAGAATTTTACAACTATTTGCTTTGGTGGAATCCCCTTGAAATCCGCGAGTTTGAGTAATCGCACATACTCAAGAAATCCTAATTGATTTTTTAAAAAGTTTTTTTCATCTTATAACTAACGACCCAAAGGATATGTTAGGAAGGTCTGTTTGGGGATGTAGTTAGACGGTATTAGAGTAACAACTGAAGAAAGCATAACAAGTATTAAGTGTTGGCTAATTTTCTTCTCTGCTTCTTTTAGTTTTTGAAGGCTGTGATAACACCAGAGTATCTTCTAATCCTAGACTATCGCAATACAAATCTGGAAAAGTGGCTGTTCCAAGACCTGGCATCTCAGCTAGCTGGGGAAGGTCAACTAGTTACATATTCTTTGCCTTTTGAATTCAGAGCTATAGAAGCAATGCTGCAGTATTGGGTAAGCATACTCATGCTGTGTGGAGAGTGATTGTTGTGATCTTTCCAGTGGTGGGATTCAGCCAGTTCGCACCTATTTGGGAGAACCAGTTGTTAACTTTCTAAGCAGTTCGGAGAACCGGTTGTTGGAAGAAATCTTTTGTTTTTTCCCTCTTTACAGGGCTAATCCTGTAAGGAAGGCAGGAAGGAAACATTCTGGTGTTGTTTCCAGCCTAGTCTTTATTCCCTTGCTTACAGAAACTGCCTCTCCAGTTAACCCTTATTACATTGTAACAGCTAAGGCAAACTGCCCATTGACCTGAGTGACATTGACTTGGCCACGCCCACATGATCACATGCCCACCAAGCCCCGCCTACCCAGCTGGTCATTAGGGCAGAGAACTGGTTGGTAAATTATTTGAATCCCACTACTGAAACATACGAATGATCTTATACAAC